GCGACGGGATATACTAGTACATAAAATAACTATTGCGACGGGATATACTAGTACATAAAATAACTATTGCGACGGGATATACTAGTACATATAATAACTATTGCGACAGGATATACTAGTACATATAATAACTATTGCGACAGGATATACTAGTACATATAATAACTATTGTGACAGGATATACTAGTACATATAATAACTATTGTGACAGGATATACTAGTACATATAATAACTATTGCGACAGGATATACTAGTACATATAATAACTATTGCAACAGGATATACTAGTACATATAATAACTATTGCGACAGGATATACTAGTACATATAATAACTATTGTGACAGGATATACTAGTACATATAATAACTATCGCGACAGGATATACTAGTACATATAATAACTATTGCGACAGGATATACTAGTACATATAATAACTATTGCGACAGGATATACTAGTACATATAATAACTATTGCGACAGGATATACTAGTACATATAATAACTATTGCTTTTCTTTTGTCAGGAAATCTGGGGAGTGGGAAGCCCGTGCTTACCAAATTCAGAGCAAGCTGCTTTTTCTATTAAAAGAACTGGAACGACCATTTGAAGGTACCAAGTTTAACAGCATGAGCTAAATATACTTTATTGTTACATTTATGTTATGTGTAAATAGGGAGTTTAGTTTCTCAATAATATGTCTACTTTTGTGTGTGTTGTTACTACTTTAATGTTGTTGTAGTAAGATGATATCAGTAGGAAGATGTGTGTGGTGTTACTACTTTAATGTTGTTAATAGTTGTAGTAAGATGATATCAGTAGGAAGATGTGTGTTGTTACTACTTTAATGTTGTTAATAGTTGTTGTAGTAAGATGATATCAGTAGGAAGATGTGTGTTGTTACTACTTTAATGTTGTTAATAGTTGTTGTAGTAAGATGATATCAGTAGGAAGATGTGTGTTGTTACTACTTTAATGTTGTTAATAATTGTTGTAGTAAGATGATATCAGTAGGAAGATGTGTGTTG